AGATGACTTTGATGGTAGTGCCAGTAGTAAAAAAAGAACAAAGGAGAAGGACAAACAGTGGATTCTGCTACCTACAGTTCAGAAATTCACTCTCACTGTACGGGAGGCTCCCTCAGGGCAGGCAGCAAGTCTTTCTGTGACTTAACCTAGTTCTTAGGCACAGAGTGCATTCTAGTTGCATGAAACAGTGCTGTTCAAAAGTGATTCTGTTATCTCAGTAGACTGCTCCTTGGTGAGCACTTGTCCCCAAAGCAGTCTTAAGTAGAAGACCACCTCAGAATCTTCTTGCTCTAGTTTGAAATGGAAATGAATTCCTGCTGAAAAGTGTGACTTTCCTTCCTACACATAACAATGTGTGCAAGTGGAAAAGTCAGCTGTTACTTGAGAAAGCCTGTATTCTTCAGTTTTTCCTTAACAGAAATTATATTGAGAAACATTTCAATTGCATTGAAGCAGACATAATTCAATTTCACCAATAAAATTTTCTTTGGATTCTAAAATTGTACACTGGAAACATTTTAAATTAGAATATATTTTTTTATTGATGTTTTCAATATTGACATATAGTTCCTCTGAAACAGTTTCCCATGAAATCCATGTTCAACAATTTATTAACTGCCCTATAACTAGTACATTTAAAAACAAAGAAATTCCCTTAAAGATTACCTACAGGTGCAAAGCCAGAACAGACTGAAGATGATACAGATTCAAAATTCATCTGACCAGCTTGTTTCCAAAATACAAGTTAAAATTATGGTACAAAAGTCTTCTTTTTCTTTTCATTTTTTTTTTTTTAATTTAAACTTGTCCCATGTTAACTCTCATAGAAAACTTCTACAGTGGGGCCTGAACACTCCTTAAATGAAGTGAGCTCACAGCCTCTAGCTAGAACAACTAAGATTTTTCCTTAAACGACACACCAGGTTGGTCCTGCTTGCTCCAGAAGTTTGTTATTCAAGAGCTGTTTGAGTATTACAGTGGGAACTAGACAATGATTAACGTGACCACTATAGGACTGTCCTGTTTGCTCTTCCAGGTGGCAGGTGCTCAAGGGCACTCTAGTTTCTCATGGGACTCTCCATGTCTCTTGCTGGTCTCTTGGTCTTCAGTGTCTGGATCCTGAGAAAGATCTAGGGTCAAAACTCGGCTGAACATGCAGTCCTCATACTGAAATGGAGAAAAGACAGTGAAAAGTCAGTTCCCCTAACTGGGGAAAAAGTATTATTAAAGTAACATAAGAGCTATTAGTGACTCTAGATTTGCATTAAAAAGGAACCTCATTGTACGTAAAAAGTTATCAATTATCTGCATTTACGTCAGTTTTATTTGTTATATTAACTTCTCAATATACATTGTAGTTGATTTTCATGACCCTTTACATGTTCCTCTTTCCCCCCTCCCTCTCTCCCCTTACACCCCCACTACATCATATCTGTTCACTTGTCTTAACAAGTTCAAGGGATTGTGATTTTTGTGTCACTTGTTTTTTTAAGTATTATCTGGTATGAGATTTTCCATTTCTCATGCAGCATATTTCCAGCTGGTCCCCTCACATTCTGTAAATTTATTTTTATCTTACCTTAAAGGAAAACTCAGGAAGTATACCCACCTGCCCAAAACCAAATGACTTCAATTAGTCGCTCTGCTCAGTTAGCACAGGCAAGTATTCTGAATGGCTTAAGAAAGGTGTGTTCAAGATGTGATGTAGTGACAGGGGAGGAGAGAGAGCGAAGGGGGAAAGAGGAATGGGTAAAGGGACAGGAAAACCAACTACAGTGTAACTACAATATATATTGAGAACTTAATTTTTTTTAAAAATGGCGTTTTCAGTTTCTAAAAGTTACCATCAACCTGGAACTTCTAGTGAATTTTTTTGTTTTTTCCTCTGATACATTTGGAAGATAAATAGTTCATTGTTCTACCACAGTGCATTTGTTTTTGCTTAAAACATTCAAACATGACAGAAATATGAAATATAATATTAACAGGTTACTCTGTGTAAGTTAATATGTACTACTATTTTATGAAACAAAACTATTAATGTTCTATAATTTTCAATTTGTTTCTTTCACTTGAGATTTACCTTAAATTTTCATTGACTGTCATAGGAAAATATCTGGATAGTTATTTTTAAGTCTTATTTCATTAAGAAATCATTTAAACCAATATTTATTTACTACAGAAGTCAAACGTTATCTACATACATCATTTGGAACTTTTAGTTATAAAAGGAAAGCCCTGTAGGTGTAGGGGTACTGAGTGGGTTAATAGCAGTTTCTCCTCTTCCCCTTTTAATTTATCTTTACCTCTGGACAGATGCTTATTACTGTGTCAGCTTTGGAATAGAACTCTTCTTTTAAGGAAATAATTATCATCTGAAACTGTTTTTGACTCTGCTCTTTGATGTAACTTGATACCTGGGTGGAAAGAAAAGTCATATAATTCATCAGCAAGGAAAAGACTTGTTTGGACTTTGGGGACAGTGATCCTGCATGTCTCTGTGTCTGCCCATTTTAGGTGGTAAGGCACTCACTTGCCTTTCTGGTAATTAATTAAATCCACCAGAGTTGCAAAAATGGAAATAGCTTAGATTCTAAAATATAAGATGTAAGTAAAAATATATGTATTATCTTCATTAAACCCGTGATCTAAAACTTTAAGAATAGGACTTTCTATATATAGTATCATGTCATCTACAAATAGAGAAAGTTTGACTTTGTCTTTTCCAATCTGGCTTCCCTTTATTTCTCTCTCTTGCCTGATAGCTGTGGCTAGTACCTCCAGTACTAGGTTAAATAGAGGTGGTGAGAGTGGGCATCCTTGTCTTGTTCCTGTTTTTAAGGGAAAGGCCCTCAGTTTTTCCCCATTCAGAATGATAATGGCAGTGGGCTTGTCATAAATGGTTTTTACTGTGTTGAGATATTTTCCTTCTATACCTAA